TATCTCTGATAGTCTCCTTTTAGTTATTTACGGTATATTCCCAGAAGTAGATCTCTGGATCATATGTTAATTTTTAATTTTTGCGTGTGGAATCACCACTGTGTTTTCATAGTGGCTGTACCATTTTACATTCCCACCAGCACTTTCAAGAGGTTCCAATTTCTTCCTGTCCTCACCCACCCTTGTTATTTTTTTGTTTGATAGTAGCTCTTCTAATGAGTGTGAGATGATGAAAATACTTTTTTGCCCCAATGAATTGTCTTGGCACCCTTGTCAAAAATCAGTTGGCCATAAATTTGAAGGTGTATTTATGGACTCTGAATTCTATTCCATTGATCTGTATTCCTATCCATATTCCAGCACAACATTGTCTTCATTGCTGAAGCTTGTAACAACTTTTATAATTGAGAAGGCCTGCAAATTACTTTTAAATATTTCTTTGGCTATTTGGATCCCTTGCATTTTCATATGATTTTTAGGATTGGCTTGTCAATTTCTGCAAAGAGTCCAGCTAGGGCTTTGGTAGGGATTGTATGGGATCTACAGATCAACTTGGGTTGTGTTGCCATTTTAACAATAGTAAGTCTTCTAGTTGACAAACTTGAGATGTCTTTCCATTTATTTAGGCCTTCTTTAATTTCTTCCAACAATGTTGTGTAGTTGTTAGTGTACACTTCTTATACTTCTTTTGTTAAGTTTATTTCTAAGTATTTTGTTCTTTTTGATCTCATTGTAAATGGAATTTAAAAAAATTATTTTTGGATCGTTAATTACTGTTGTACAGAAATGCAGTTGATTTTTGTACATTTATCTTGTATCTTGCAACCTTGCTGAAGCTGTATATTAGTTCTCATTGTTTGTGTGGATTCATTAGGATTTTTTACATGCAAGATTTATGTCATCTGTGGGTAGAGATAGTTTTGCTTTTTTCCACTGTAGATACATTTTGTATCTTTTTTTTTTTTTTTTGCCAAATTGTTCTTGCTGGAGCCTCTAGTATAATGTTGAATAGAATCAACTAGAATGGATATCCTTTAAGTAGATTTTTTCAATGTTTACCAGTTTGGAAATATTTATTACTAACAGTGTTCCTTTGTGAACTTGAAAATGCAGCCATTCTTCTGGAGTAGCAAAAGTGACAAAATTTCTTTTATTGGAATTTAGCATGTTATTTATTTTTAGAATGTCAAGGCACAATAGATCCTAGATTGGCATTTTTCAAAACCTTGATATCTTTGCTCTGTTAACTTTTTGATTTTTTTTCCTAAAGTAAGTAAAGTAAGCCAACTATAGGACTTTTACAAACAGATCTCTAAAGTATGTTCCTTCCTAAAGAATATGCTTGCTGCGTATATTTGAAAGAATGAGTAATCAGGACATTCATATTATCTCTGCTTGTGTTTTTCAGCCAAGGCTTGAGTTAATGCCTTATAGTTAGCACTTTTGAATTATAATTTATTGCAGATACAGTTGATCATCTGAGATGATGATAGTGGGTAGGGTGAGAGATGGTGGTTGCACTACTTTTGCTAATTTAATTTTATACCTGTCTTCTGAAGGATACATTTTCTTGTTTAAATTTCTTCCCTACAGAAAGCTCCAGGAGTGACTTTGCTATGCCTTCTTCTTCTTTTTTTAAATAAAAATATATTTTATTTTTAGTTTGTTGTGTGTGTTGCATTTCTCACATTTTATTTTATTTTTATTTTTTATTCCAGTAGGTTTTTGGGGAACAGGTGGTGTTTGGTTACATGAATAAGTTCTTTAGTGGTGATTTCTGAGATTTAGGTGCACCCATCACCGGAGCAGTATAGACTATACTCAGTATGTAGTCTTTTGTCCCTCACCTCCTTCCACCCTTTCCCTCGAGTCCCCAAAGTCCATTATATCATTCTTATGCCTTTGTGTCTTCAAAGCTTAGCTCCCACTTATGTGTGAGAAGAAACAGTGTTTGGTTTTCCATTCCTGAGTTACTTCACTTAGAATAATGGTCTCCAGTTCCATCCAGGTTGCTGCAAATGCCATTATTTTGTTCCTTTTTATGGCTGAGTAGTATTCCATGGTGTGTGTGTGTGTGTGTGTGTGTGTGTGTGTGTGTAATTATAATTTCTTTATCCACTTGTTGACTGATGGGCATTTGGGCTGGTTCCATATTTTTGCAATTGTGAATTGTGCTGCTATAAACATGCGTATGCAAGTATCTTTTCAGTATAATGACTCCTTTTCCTCCAGGTAGATACCCAGTGGTGGGGTTGTGGATCAAATGGTATTTCTACTTTTAGTTCTTTTAAGGAATCGCCACACTGTTTTCCATAGTGGTTGTACGAGTTTACATTCCTGCCAGCAGTGTAAAAGTGTCCCCTTTCACCACATCCCCGCCAACATCTATTATTAATATTTTTTTGTTTCTTTTAATTATGGCCATCCTCGCATGAGTAACATGATAACCGTATTGTGGTTTTGATTTGCATTTCCCTGATAGTGAGTGATGTTGAGCGTTTTTTCATGTTTGTTGCTATGCCTTATTCTTCACTGAAGATTTTTTTCAACACTTAGACATTCAGTTCAGAGAATAGAATTTCTTTAATTTATTGAGTGTTTGTTGAATATATTCTATTTGTACTGTACTCTGCCCTGTCAGAAACATTAAACAAGTATAAAAACATGTCTGTTCTCTGGATGCTTACAATGTAATTAGGAAGTTCAATTATATGTACTTACCTTGTGCTGTGTATTTGTGGTTCTGGGTCTATGTCTTATATTCCTCACTAAACATGAGCTCCTTGAGGATAATTATCTTTGTATTGACATAGCATGTCACAGTATCTCACAGGTAGCTTGTGTTTATTATGATTTTTTAAAATTAATAGAGCAATAAAACAATATAAGACTACTTACAACTAAATACTCAGGTGAATGGCATAACTAATCAAGATTTTAATTTCAGAAGTAACAATGATCTGTGTGTTCTGGATTTATCAGGGTAGGCTTCATACAAGAGACAATTTAGTGGGTTCATAAAGGATGGTAAGACCTAAGCAAGGAGAGAGATATTATAGTAGTTGGTGTCATAGTATTTGGAGGGCATTGAGCAGATCATATTGACTGGAAGAAAAGACAGGCTTGTAGATAAAGAGAAGGGTGGATATCACTTTGAAATGTTTGCTTTTACTCCATTTGATAGTAGAGTATCATTTAAGTTTCTTGAGTTAGGAATTTTTGGGACAAAATAGCACATTAAGAATATTTACTTGATGATAATATGTATTATGAACTGGAGGGTAGCTTGTATTAGGAGACCATTTTAAAAGGTATGATAATGATTGAATTTCTTTAGTCTGTCAGCTTTTAATAGCAGGGTTTGTTTGTTTGTTTGTTTGTTTGATCTTTAGTGCCTACCATAGTACGTATGTCAAAGTTCAAATATTTATTGAGTGGATGAGTGAATGTATGGACTAGGTGATCTGGGCCTGGAAGGGGCTGTTAACAGTAGGAAAAATCCATCTGAGTGACATTTTGGAGGAAAAATTGAGATGACTTGTTTTCTAAAAGTGTACGGGGTGTATGAAAGGTTGAAGATGACACTGAAGTTTTAGCGTGGAATCAGGGAATGAGGGGAGTGAGAAAAGGGACAGTCATGATCACGTTTTAGACTTGCTGAGTTTGACATTGAAATGCCTAGTGCATAGAGATTTAAGGACTCAAATGAGAACTGAAGTTTGAATGTTTATATTTGGATATAATTTTATGGCTATTATTTGAGCAGTAAAAATGATTGGACTGATAAAGCTGTATGTATGTACATGTACAGAGGTTGTGTATATGTACACAAGTATACATATTTTTATACATTACAACTCAATATGTGTTTTAGATGGTCGATAAACTAATTTACATGTTAGATTAGCATAATGATGGCTGATTCTTTGGATGAGCAGAGGAAAAAAAGGGAGCTACAGAAGGATTCAGAAAAGAAACAGGTAGAAGAACTTGCAATGTAAATTTGCTAATGAGACTTTGTAAATTTGTCTTATGTATCAAAACAACAGTAATACTCCCATTATCACATGTTGAGAACTTACTATATGCTGGACACTGCCAGGCGTGCCATCTCTTTTAATCCTCACAACAAATCTGTGACATTAGTACTATTGTATCTCCCTCTTACTGATGAAGAAACTGAAGTCTAAAGAAGTTAAAACTTGCTCCAGATCACTTGAGCTGATAAATAATGAGGAGACCTTGTGGATATAAATCTAAGTTTTTGTGAACTATAAGCCAAATGTTCTTTCCAGTATACCAAAGGTATGTATGTTTAATTTCTGCAAGGCGAGGACTGTGCCTATATAGAATTAGTCTTCATAAAGGCTTATTAATTAGCAGGCAGTGATTGGACAGTAATATTTCCTGTAAAAATAATCAGCACATATTGTGGATGTGGCTGCTTCTACTTTTCTACTTGGATATTTACATTCATTGTGTACTTGGAGATAAAGCTTTTTTGATTGCATGTTGTAGATATTAAATTTAAAAAGGATAGCAGACCTGGGATAGTGGCTCGCACCTATAATTCCAGCACTTTGGGAGGCTGAGGTGGATTGATCGCTTAAGCTCAGGAGTTTGAGACCAGCCTGCACAACATGGCGAAACCCCATCTCTAATAAAAATACAAAAACTAGCTGGGCATGGTGGCATGTTCCTGTAGTCTCAGCTCCTTGGGGGCCTGTGATGGGAGAATCCCTTGAGCCTGGGAGGTTGAGGCTGCAGTGAGTCAAGATGACACCTTTGTACTTCAGTCTGGGTGACAAAGTGAGATCCTGTCTCAAAAAAAAAAAAAAAAGATATTAATTTATTTGAAGATTTAATCATCCAGAAAGTGCTTTTCAAATGTTTTTCTGAAACTAATGTAAATTTGTTTTAGAAGTTTTTCTGATACAGTCTTCAGAATATTCATACTTAGAAAGGAAATAAAAAGGACCTGTCATTTTCTTTTATTTCAGGGGATATCATTTTCAATGCCCAATACCCAGAACTGCCTCCCGATTTTATCTTTGGAGAGGATGTTGAATTCCTGCCAGACCCCTCAGCTTTGCAGGTGAGTCCTGCAGACTTGCTTGAATGATCTTTCTTTGGTGAAAGGAAAACAAAATTGGCTTTCAGCAATTGCTTAACAGATAGATTTGTCACACATCTGCATTTTTCCCACCCCTCTTTTCTCTGTCCTGTGAAATAGATGGAACTCTTTATGTGCCAAAATAGTTAAATAAGAGATTTTTTTTCATTGCTGTTTAGTTTTAGGGTATTGCGAATTAGTGAAAGTCTCTAGCATATTGGTTGAAATATTTTTACTTCAGTTTAAAGAGAAATGTTGAAAACATTTTCTTTGTTTTAACGTAGTATTTCATGCCTGCAATCAATTTTCTAATGTTTACTAACACTTCATTACAGGGCTCGTTAGGAGAGCGTTTCTTGGCTCTTCAAGAAGGCGTTTTTATATAGAAGTGAAAGTGGCAAATTTGGACTTGTATCCACATTATCTCAGTATCTCAGTATTATTATCAGAAGGGTAAAGACCAGATTAAGTGTTCTTTATCAAGCAACACCAGAAACTTTATAGTTGAAATAAAATGTTTCTGGAATTGAAGCAGAAATATTCACCATTAGGGAAAGGGTGGTGGTACTTGTTGGAGCACATGTGCTTTAGTAAAAGTTGTGTGTTTTGCATGGCAGATGGAGAAAAACGTGCCATTTTGTTTAAATGGTTCTGACCAGACAAAATGTCTCTTTTTTTATTTCTTCTCAAATTTGAGTTTGGTGTGATACCTATACTAGAAGAGGTTTTATTGTTGTTCAAAACTATACTCTTAGTTTTGTTTTCTGGAAATTTTTTGTCTTGTTCAAGTTTTAGAATTAGAAGTTTTGATGACTGACTTTGAACTCTTGCCCTTTAAAGGTATTAAACAGGAAGTAGTAACCTAAACCTAAAGTATTGGCTCAAACATTAGAACATAGCTGTAAAAATATTGTTGGTAAGAGTAAGGTGGATTTGTGGTGGAGTTTCTAATAATTGCACATGAGCTGTAATTTTTTTAATTAAAAAAATATCTGAATTCAAGATGGCCCCTTTAGTTGCTGTGTGTTATATATTCAGTTTGTATTAAAGCTGAGAGTCTTACGTGGAAAAAAAAATGACACAGAAATTTTACCACAGACCTCTTCTGTATTAAATCTGCCCAGAGGAGGGTAGCATGTGCCGGATGCCAAAGATGTATTACAGGCTAAGTGCCTCAGGAATTCAAAGAAGGTGGTCAGAAAAAGCTTTGTAGTTGAGGCGAGACTTGTAGTCATTCTTGAAGAATGGAACAAAAGTGGGAGGTATGACAGAGAGTATTTCAGGTGGGGGAATGACATAAGCACATTGGGGGAATGACATAAGCACACTGGAAGAAGCTAGGATTTGTCTAATGTATTTCAGAAGGCACTGACAAGTTTGCTGAAGTGTAAGTCAGTATAAGGAAGGGATAGACAAGGTTAGAAAGGTAAATTGGGAGAAGACTGTGGAGCACATTGAATGCTGGGCTAGGAGCCATTGAAGGAAATGATGAAGGGAGAATAATCTAATGGCAGTGTGGTCAATATAATGGAATAAGGAGAGATCGAAGACCAGAATTGAGGATGGTTGTAAAATTTCAGTGGAGGGAGAAAGGACTTTGAACTAGGGTGATGCAAGAAGAAACAGTGTAATGGAAAGAATAAAAAAGTCATGTTTACAACTTCTTTTTTTGAAATTGCATTTAGAATTCATAGCACATATCTTTAATATTGGCAAGTATTGTGTAAGTGTAGAATTTAAATGCTAGAAAGGATCTTAAGATTCATTTTATTCAACTCTTCTATTTTAATATTGAGTAAATTGACCTAGATTTATATAATTCTGTGTCAGACCTGATATTATAACACCACTTTTAAGATGTTAGTCCCTGAGTGAAGTTATCATAAATGTTTTGAGAAATTAGCTGAAAAAGAACAGCCAAAAATCAAAGCACTAGATCTAAGTGAAAGATTACAAATCTAGGGGAATACCTTCTCTTTAGTGATAGTTCATCTACGGCCTTGGGTAGACTACCCAGGGCTTCTTCATGGATCAGTGGGTTGAGCAAGCCCAGATAAGCAACCAGAGTGTACTCTCCACTAGCTGGGCGATGTCCAAATAGTTCTGGAGGTTGCACTTGATGTTTATTGTTGTCTGATCAAAACACTAGACAGGTTAACTACAAGGCCTGATCCCCAGCAGACATTTCTCTGAGTGTCGCTTGCCTCTGAAGGATTTTTCACTCACTTGTTAACAGATTTTGGTTTAATTCTTGGATTCAGTTCAGACATTTTTCCCCTTCTTGAAGTGCTCAGAGCACAATCACTAATAACCTGACTAGCTTACATATGGTTCTGAATGAAGGGGTATTTCATCACCCATGGAGTGGAACAGAATGCCTAGATTTCTTGGATTTTTCCTGAAGTATGCCTTGCAGAAGGGCATGAGTATATACCCTTAGAACCTGGGAGTGTAGTCTAAACTAGTTCCTGTGGCAAATGTGGAATTTCTTTGAAGTTTCTGAGTTTTGTCTTAAAAATTCATGAAAATTCTATATTTGATTCTATAATATACCTATATATTAAAAACAAAAATATATTATTAATATTTGAGATAAAAGGACTCTTCAATGTATCTCAGTTTGAGAAATGTAGTTTTAGAGAATATATATAATATATGTAATCTTTTATTTATTCAATTTATTTAAATCAAATCGTTTCTGGAAAAAAGAGGATTTGAGATAGCTTAAGTAAAGGACACACATAAGGTTAATAGGAATATGTGATGTGCTGTGATCCATCCAATGAGGCCACCTCTTTCTAAACTCAAACTCTTCATTTAGGGAGGTGAGTTCCATTAAGGAACTCAAGATTTTCAGATAAATAGAAAATACTAGATAGAGAGGTATCTCATAGATAGCAAAGATAAACTCTCATAAAATTATTGAGTTAGGACATTAATGGTCCAGTGGTTCCCAATTCTAGATATACATTAAAATGAATTGAAAACCCTTTTAAAAATACAGATTACTGGACCTACTGAATTGTATTCTTTGGGGAGCCCAATAACGTATTAAATTCTCTGGGCTATTTTTATGATTACTCTGAACTGTTACTGGAACCACTGATTGAATCCATCTTTTATAGTAATGTTTCCAACAGAAGGCTGTTTGCCTTTGCTTAACATTATTTCCAGTGAAGTATCATTTTCCATTCTGGAGACAGCTCAAAAGTTTTTTTAAATAACAGCTTTACTGAGACAACTTATATGCCATACAATTCACCTGAAGTATGTAATTCAATGGTTTTTAGTATGTTCATGGAATTGTGCAACTTAATCTATCACCACAAATTTAGAACATTGTCATAATCCCGAAAAGGAACCTTAAACTTATTAGCAGTCACTTCCCTATATTCCCACCCTGATCCACCACCACCCAAAGTAGCAACTTATCTGCAGTTTGTCTCTATGGATTTGCCTATTCTGGACATTACATATAAATGGAATCATACAATATGTTGTCCTTTGTTACTGGCCTCTTTGACTTAGCATATTGTTTTCAATGAAGCATGTATTTCTGTTTTATTTTCTTTTTGCCAAATACAATTACATCGTGTGCATATACTGCATTTTATTTATCCATTCATCAGTTGATGGACCTGCAGGTTGTTGCCGTGTTTTAGCTATTATAACTACTGTTGTGTGGATATTTTTATTTATCTTGGATGTATTTCGAGGAATGGAATTGCAGGGTCAAATGGTAATTCTGTGTTTAACTTTTTGAGGAAATACCAAACTGTTTTCAAAAGTGGCTGTGGCATTTTACATTCTTACCAGCAGTGTATGAGTGTTTCAGTTTCTCCACATTCTCAGCAACACTTGCTATTATGTCTTTTTGATTATAGCCATCCTAGTGGGTATGAAGTGCTATCTCATACCCACAAGTGGAGTGGTATCGCATTGTGGTTTTGATTTGTGCTTTTTTGATGGCTAGTGATACTGAGCATCTTTTCATGTGCCTATTGGCTATTTGTATATATTCCTTGGAGAAATGTCTATTCAGATCCTTTGCCCATTTAAAAATTGGATTGTCTTTTATCGTTCAGTTGTAAGAGTTCTTTATTCTGAGCATAAAAATAAACAAAACACAAATTAAAGAGTCATATCTATTAGTATTTATTGCTTGCATACTGTGTGTTGAGTACGATTCAATATGGAACTTGACCTCAAGAAGTCTAAATTTTAGGGAGGTGGCTGGGTGCAGTGGCTCATGCCTTGTAATCCTAGTACCCTGTCTCTCAATCAATCCATCCTTAAGTTTTAGGGAGGTAAGATATAGATATCTAAAAGCAAATACAGGTAGAATATAATTAAATGTTGAATAATTGAAACAAAAGCAATGCTATGGGATAAATAGTGTTTTTCACATACAATATATGATGTGAGAAGAGAGGATCTTCAATAAATTAAGACAGAGTCTCCATTATAATAAAAAAGGAAAATTATTGTAGGTTGGAATTGTGGAATTAAAATAATCAAGAAGAAGTTAAGTGATGGGTAGGTTATGCTATAGCTGTCACCCAATTGCTTCTTTAACTTGAACTTTTTCTCTTTTACTCTTTTGCTCCTTGCTCAGCCCTTTCCAGCCACAGAGGCATCCTTGCCATTCCTCAGACATTCTAAACACACTCCCACCTTAGGGCCTTTTCATTTACTATTGACCGCTTTTATTCACTCTACCTGTAACCCTTCCTCCACTTACCTGAATGACTTGTTCTCTCCTTTCTTGAAGTGTCATTATATCAGAGAGGCTTTCTCTGACATCCCTGTGCAAAATAGCAATACACTCTTCAGTACACTGTCATCTTTGTCATTGTCTATTTTCTTCAAAGCACCTATCATCATTTGATGATTTTTGGTTGCTTGTTTGGTGTCTGTCTCTGCCAGAGTGACCAACTGCCTTGGTTTGCCCTGGACTGAGGGGTTTCCTGGAGTGCAGCACA